TTTTTTGCTAAGCATCATACTGCACTCATCGCAGGACTGTGAAATCAAATGATCTAGCCATTTATCTCTAATATTGTGTCGTGCATTCAAGTATTTAGGACGAAATTTACAGTATATCTACCTTAGGGCTGTGTTTTATATCATAATTGTTATGACTTCGAAGCCGAAAAAAAATTAGAGTTCGAGTCCCTATTATTAATAGGACTTCAGTCTCAAAGGGGTTTTGATTAGTAGATTCATATTCATTACTGCTTTAGCCATATAAGTACTTGGCGCTAGTGAAATAAACGTCTATTAAATGCATAAATGCCCAGTTTACTTATATATGGAGTACAGGTAGGTATGAGGAGAAATTTATCAAATCCTTTCAAGAAAAATCAAGTTGTCTCTAGCATGGCAACTTTTAATTTCGCGTCAAATCCATATTTAAGACTTTTTGCGACAGATAAGGGTGCAGGCTGTGATGCGTTTTGGTACCAGCCTAGGTGCAGATTATAGATTGCTCAGATTTGAATGCTTTTTGTTGCTCATTGATATTTGTGCAGAGTCCTTTGAGTGCTTATTTTTGTCCATTACCTGTGATTCTCTGGTTTCAGGAAAGAGTCGACCAGCTTGCAGCCCAGTTGGCGAATTCTGTTCCAATTTCTGAGCTGGAGGCACTTCGGCAGACGTTGAAGAGCGACTTTGTTTCCCGAGATGAGCATGAGCAACAATTGGAAGGTTTTCAGCGCGAGTTGGATGAGGCTCATCTTGTTGCAAAACAGCTGCATCAGGCTGTCGATCAAGCCAATGAATACTTGCGCCAGGAGAAAGTAGGCTCGTTTAAATGCGACGTTTATGTTGTATTATTAAAAATTCTTTCTTTTGATTTTAATTGGGAACTCAAGGCACGTACTGTAAGTCGTTAACAATAGCGCAGACTGTAGTAAATGTATGTACTCTTTCGTTGGTCAACTAATTTTACGAATGTCCTCATTAAGTTATTTCTATCTCGATGTGATTCTTCTGAATGCTGTGATATGTTTTATTTGTCAGTTTTCGATTGTTTACTCTGGAGGAACAATGGGGTGTTGTTTTTCTCTATGAAAGATTTAGTTTTCTTGCCTGATGATGCCGGATAATGATTGGCATCACAATCGAATAGTTGATTTCTCCTTATTTCACTTGCGTTTGGTCCTAGGTGCAGATTATAGATTGCTCAGATTTGAATTCTTTTTGTCGCTCATTGATACTTATGCAGAGTCCTTAAATTTGAGTGCTCACTTTAATCCATTACCTGCCATTCCCTGGTTTCAGGAAAGACTCGACCAGCTTGCATCCGAGTTAAAGAATTCTGTTCCAATTTCTGTGGTGGAGACACTTCGGCAGACGTTGATGAGCGACTTTGTTTCCCGAGATGAGCACGTGCGAGAATTGGAGTATTTTCAGCGCGGCTTGGATGACGCTGCCGATCAAGCCAATGAAGACTTGCGCCAGGAAAAAGTAGGCTCGTTTAAATGCGACCTTTATGATGTATTATTAAATAATTCTTTGTGTTGATTTTAATTGTGAACTCAGGGCACGTAGTGTAGATCGGTAACTATAGCGCATACTGGAGTAACAATCTGTAGTCCTTCGTTGGTCAACTAATTTTACGAATGTCCTCATTAAGTTATTTCTATCTTGATGTAGTTCTGCTGAATGTTGTGGTATGTTTTATTCGTCGGTTTCCGAGTGTTCACTCTGCAGGCGCAATTGCGTGTTGTTTTACTATATGAAAGGTTTAGTTTTCCTGCCTGATTAAATATTTGTTGGCTCTTTACTCGTGTTCTATTCTATGCATTCGGTTCGTAACCTGTCTCTTTTAGGATGATGATTGGCATGCGAATCGAAGAGTTGATTTCTCCTTATTTCACTAGCGTTTGGTTCATGCGCTTTTTGAATTGCTTCGGAAAAATACTGCTTTTATATGTCCGGTGTCATCCAAGTGATTTAGGGAGGTTGGTTTAAAAATCTATTCTAAATCATAGGTATTTTAGCGTATTTTCTCTAACGACTTGCATCGAGCTTTGAACCTGTCTTCTAACGTGCTTACAATTCACTAGGTTAAAAACTCAATTACTCCAATAACCTTGTAAGCATTTATCTCATAGAAGAGGTAGTAATTTTGTAGATAGATAAGTTTAAGTCTTTCTTCCAAACCGGCAATCTCGTTTTCGAAACTTATTCCTGTTGTCGAAGCGACGTGCAAAAATGCCTTGTCTGAGATCTTTTGACATCGTTAACAATGCTATCTAAACTTCTTTGAATATACCTATTCCTCGATTCGACTTTTGCAATTATCATGTTTTGTATAGAAGAGTACGTCAGACGAGCTACTACTTCGGCTGAATAACAAAGTATGTATTCAAATGAATTGGATTACAAATTATGGAAAACTGTTAAATATTTAATGTGTGCATCAAATACACTTGTAGTTTTTGCTGTTTGATGATTTTGACGGAATTATTCAAGGATTTTCTGTTATGTTTTCTTTGTTGGTTGTGAGTGAACCACATCAGCGCAG